CGACCACGACCACCACCACGACCACGACCACGACCACGACCACGACCACGACCACGACCACTACCACTACCACCACTACTACTCCTACTGCTACTGGTACCGCTCCTGCTACTGCTTTCGGTACTACTGCTGCTGCTCCGGCTCCTGCTACCTCTACTGCTGCAGCTACTCCCACTAGTACTTGTACCCCTACTACTAAGCTCCTGCTGCTGCTGCTGCTGCTGCTGATCCTGGCAGCAAAATCCAGTTCCCTACCAGTGGCTAGGTGATGATAGCAAACTCGTCCGAGCAGTTCGATTGCCTGAAACAGTGTTGGGTTTGTTGTAGTGGTATCACGACTTCTACCAGCACAGTCGACTTGTCCCACAACCCTGACCGGTGCCGGCAATTATTTTCAGGACGAGGTTTGGCCTGGAAGTTGGCTTGAAGTCTCGGGCCGTACAAGGTGAATGAACCGTTTTTACAGGTGTTTGGATGATGCATTGATGAGCTGACGACTGCGACCCTTGCATTCGAGGTGTTCAAGCATGACGTTGAAACAGGTTTACCATCACAGCCGCACTCGACAGACGGCTGCTGGAGCACAGTAGGCATAGGCAGAACGACCTGACAAGGGTTAGCGACCTTTTTCGCACTTGGTGTGGGTTTGGCCGGCCCGCTTCCGGACACGTTTTTTGCAAGGTTTCTCCTTTGGATTTGTGGTTAAACCTACGAGCATACAGGGTGGAGCTTCGGCGCCAAGCCAGATGACGGGCCAGCCTCGAATTTGCCTGTTCCAGAGAGCCCAACCACATCACCCAACAAACGCATTACGGAACATATTAAGTAAGAAGCCTTCTATACGGTCTCAGGGACGTTCCCCCACCCCTTTGGGGCTCTCTTCTGAAAATGCGACGAGCATCCATTGAATCTCGTTGCAGCAGAGTTGAGGACTTGTCGGTACGAAAAGGTGGGTGCGCCAGGTGTCAGCAAACGGACAGTTGGAATGTTGGCATCTGCCAATTGTAAAGCCTCGTCTGTTGTTGACTTCTGTGGCCTGTACTCTAGACACATAGATAGAAGACGTGCTAGGTTAGTAAAATGTTTGCACGGCCGAATAGATCGTATATGCAACGAAGCCACTTTAAGCGTAGTTTGGCACCCATGCTGTGTTTTCCATCACTTTCCGTTTAGAACCTGTAGAAAGCAATGTTCAATCTAACGATTAGGCCCTAGGCCTGCTAGTGCTTGCAAGGATTCCCCGGATTCGTGGCAGGCCTTAGCCCTGTCCCAAAGCAAGGGATCCCTGGCCCTCAATGCCGGATCCCTGCGTTTGTTCGTTTGAGGTTGGCGAGTGGGGCTCCGTTTATTGGGTTCCGATTGAAAGGAGTCCAGCGGGGTTCCTGTAATTGAGGGTTGGGGGATGTTCGGGCCCGAAACGGGCCCGAAACTTTATCTTCACTCTAAGCTCTGAGCACTCTGAGTTGGGACTTGCTCGATCCGACCTGACTTCAAGCCAAATGGACCGGAGATGAATCTCTCAAAGCATCTACACCCCAGTGTCTCTGAAAGCCATCATCATCAGATCCCCATTGCCAGGCCACCCAAACCCTGACTAACTAACCCTAGTATGCTGAACCGCAAACGTAGATTGAGCTTCTTGCCAGGACGGATTTGCAGATTTCAGCCGATGTTGCAGGCTCTCTATGAGGTTGCGGTGTTTTACTGGCAATCATGTTCGAGCTCTCGTTGCATATGCTGTTCTTTTGACCACAGTGCAATATTGCTTCAGGGATTCAGCAAAGGTCATCGGACTAGAATAATGTATGTCTCGAGCAGCCATCTCGGCTAAGGCAGGGATGCGCATCAGCAGCCCCTTGTTGTTTGTCACACCTTGTGTTCATGCGACTGCTCCTTGCTGTGGGCTTGTTGGAGAGCCTTGTCATTGCCCACCGGTTTGCAGGCGCGTGCTGTGTTTCCGGAGAGCATGAAGCTTGCCACTGTCGTTGTCGGGGTTGGAGGAGACAGTATCCATCTGTGGGAGGGACAGGATTGTTTGTTGCAGTTTGGGCGGTTCTGAGTTCAGGTTGGAGCAGTTCTAGGTTTTCACCAATCGCGACTCACTTAAGAAGACCGCGTATGTAATTTGCTGTGGAGGTGGACCCTTGCCTGCCATACCGAATCACAGTCTGCAATCGTGCACACGGTGCCCACCCACTCAAGTTCAGGTGCCACTTAAGTTGGAAATTGTTGAACCCTTCTAAAGTTGGCATGTGAGGCCCACGGTACCTGCTACTTTTTCCAAACAATGCGAATGCCCTCGTTACAGTCGGTTTCCGCCTGCTCCGCTTGCGGCCTCAGGTCGCGATGGCCACAGCCGGGACACTGCTGGAGCACAGGAGCTGTAGCTGACCAACCACGGCCTTCGACACTGCCTTGATGTAGTTCAGGTGTGCTACACCAGTGGCCTTGCTGGGGTCTGTAAGGGGTATGGATGCGCTTCAGGTTTCAGCACCTTCGGAGCCGCCTACATCTCCAACTCTCGCATTATTCAGAGCTTGCCCAGGAATCCCTGATCTTAGAGTTTGTCAGGTCTTTGTATGCCTTTGCGCCACTGCAGAGTTTTCTGGGTTGATTCTTCAGCCCGGCTGCGGTGTGCAGGTTTGCCACCGTCGGTTCTGATGTTGCAGACACTGAGCCCGAAACCCTAAACTATACATCCTAAACGGTCATAAACTCGACACCTGATACCCCACAAGCCTTACCCCTAAACTCTATATATGTCTTCAACCCGGAGCCCAAAACCTATACGAATAAATTCTACGAATCTCCTATAACACACGGGCCCCGTAAAGCTCTATAGAGCCCTAGACTTGGCCCCAAAGCCTAAGCCACGCCAGGAGCCAGAGCTGGAGAGGCTTAGCAGCCAGGTGGCCGAATTACAGAAGAAGCTGCACGACATGCAGCTGAAGCTGGATGAGACTAGTCTCCTCAGAAGTTACCTCTTCTTTCGCTTTTTTGTTAAGGTTGCAGTTTTAGACATGGGCGAGCCTATTAGCCAGGAGATGGCGATGCGGCCCCCGCCGCCTGCCGTCAGCCCGCAACTTCCTGGCCCCTGGCGTGAGGAAGGCATGGAGGAGTTGTTAGATGAACTCAAGGAGGAGTTCATGAGCTATCCAACTGCCGAGGAGTTCTTTGAGCAGCAGATTGTGCCTCTGGCTTGCTTTGGAGGGGCGTTTTGGGACTTGATATGGTTTTCTACTTCTACTTGCAAATTCATTCATGGGTGACGTTGTAAGCAAAGTGTGCCGGAGGTAAGGCATGCAGCCTTCTAATAGCCCGAACAAGGTATTCGCGACTCTACTTGTTTGCAGTTAGACATGGACCTCCAAGTGCGGATTTCATTTCGCAGGTCATCAACGGAAGCTGCGATGCAAAAGACCAGGACACCGCAGCCTCCTTCGAGCTTGTCATGTCGGTGGTATGGGATTGTGGTAAGTTTCTAATGACTCGGTCTCGCTTCCCAGAATTCAGAGCTATGAGCCCCAGGATTTCTGCAACAAGAGCGCCGCCCGCCTGGAGGCTGCCCTGCACCTTGGAGTGTGAGTTGTGAGTAGGGTTTTTGGAATTTGGGAGTTGGTTCTTCATTGGTGCCTGTTTTTGTCTTGGAGCTCCGACGTTTTAGAGCTCAGGGCTTCGGGTTTAAGGTGTTGCCAAAGGTTTTGCGGGTGTAGTTTACATTGCTTATGCTAAACCTGGAACTTTTTCTGCAAACTAGCCTGAGCTTAGCAGATGTAATCCTGCCCTTGCTCCCGAAGTTTCTAACGCCTCCACCATGCCCATCCCAAACATAAATTGCCCGCGCTGTGAGCTTCAAGCCCGACACCCAAACGCCAAACACCCTTTTCCAACGAAATCCCAGCTGTGAACACTCAACTCGGTAGATCCTCAAGCACAAACCCCGAAGCCATCAGCCCGAAACTCATAAGAGCGACCAAATCCCCGAGCTTGCGCTAAGGATGGATCCTTGCCAGGGCTGCGGCTGCCAGAGCCATCCGACATTGGACCCCGAACGGCCCTAACGGTTTAAGCGTTTTTTTAGGTTTGTTGTTTTGTCGATGGTCTTGCTTGTATTCAGGGGTTCGGGTTTGGCTTCAGGGATTTCATTAGGGACGTATACAGGAGTTTACATGCTTCATTTTGCAGGGCTTTATTTTTGTTTGATGCATGTTCTCTTGGGTTCAGGAGCCGACAGTCCCTCGACCCGTGGGCTGTAGGAGTTGTCCGGGTGCCTGCGGGCCTCGGACTAGAATATCGTTGCTCGAAGGGGTCCAGAAAACGATTTGCATTTATGGTTCTGGGATGTTACGGTGCGAAGTGTTAGGGCCGCTCCCACATGCTCGCGAGGAGGAGAAAAGAGAAGCGTACTTGCGCGCCTGTGTTTCCCAGAAGCGTCGCTTTGTTCAGTGGGCATCCGTCGTTTGCCGAAGACGCCACAAGGACTTCGATCTCCAATATCTTACCTCGAAGATTTGCTAAAGAGTCTTGAAATCGACTGGGCAGGCTGCTGACCTGATATTTGGCCTTAATGGGTCAAGGATCGTTCTGCAAGTTTAGTCCTCTTGTTTCCCTGAGTACTGGTTAAGTAAGAGGAAGATCCACTCAAGTCCTTTCACGACTGCGTATCAGCTGGGATGAACCTGCTCTTCGCGACGAACGATAAGGCACCTGCAGATGCGTTACACTGCCTCTGAAGCTGCTCATCCATTAGGAAGATGGGTCGGTTTTCTTCCAGTATCAGTTTCAGCCCACCCGAAGCCCACAATTGCAGGCGCCTGCGCAGGAATGGGCCAAGGCGCCGAGGCACAAAAGCAATCTCGTCCTCTGGAGCCGCGTGACTTCAGTTCAGCTTTCCATGGTGCTGAGCGAGATACCGGAGGGCTTCATCCTGGGAAACACGCTGTTCCTTGGACGGGATTGTAACCTTCAAATCTGTAATTTTAAGCTGTACGCCCTGCACGCGCAAAGCCGCATCAATCCTTAACCTGCTAACTGCTAACCCATATGTGGGTCTATGTGTATACGGTATACGACTCAGGTTCCCTGTCATGACCTGCTTAATGCTCAGTTCCCATGTAGAATCTTCGGCTCCAATGGTTGCTGTCTTAGTTGTAAGATCAATAGCAGAAGAAAGTCGTGTCATTGTTGTTGAGGGCTTTCTTCATGCTTGTCCAAGCTTCCAAACTGCACCAGGAAATCACTTCCATGGGTTGGGGAGATCATTATTTCGACGAGACGGCATCTGCTCTCCCCCTACCGCGACAGTTCCCCAACGGGTGATTCTCTACGCCTCTGCGCGAGTTGCAACTCTTTTTGTCTTGACGCACGGGTCTACTGAAACTGGAATTTGCAAACTTGATTTGCCTTGAGGATTGCGCACTAGGATACCCTGTTTTTGGCTCACCGAAGCCATCTTTTGAGGCTTTGAGGCTCAAAGACCATGGTATTGCTGATGGACGAAATCCTGCGTGATCTGGGGTACTCTAAGTACGCTACACCATTGGAATTCTGGTAGTAGTGCTCAGCTTGAGGTTTTGGGCTTGCTGTCTAGGCCTCCAAGTCTCGACATTTTGAACTAGAAGGAGTGTTGTGATAGCCCACCTCTAAGCCCGTTGAGGGCCTTGCTACTCGAGCATGGCCGGTTCCCCTGTAGTCATATGATCAAAGGGTAACATCCCCACAAATTCCTATTCTAGTTATCAGGGCTCCTATGCCACTGAAGCGTCACAGTAGCCCTTACAGCAATCTGTATAGAACTCTTTAAAGTTTAAAGGAACCCTCAAACCAACCCTTTCCTAAACAGTCAGACCCTCACATTACCCTGGTACCTGCAGCGATTCAGGTTTGGTGCAGTGGCCGAGCTGCCGGAAGTCGATCACTTCAGCAACTGCACGTCATCCGGAGTAGATTCAGGGTTTAGGGTTCATAGGGTTCGTGGTGCAGGGTTTAGGGTTTGGGGTTTGGGCAGTCTAGCGTTTTCTGTTTATAGTCGAGCAGAGTGCAGAAGAGTCAGAAGAGTTTGCATGGTACGGTAAAGCTTGGCATAATTTTTGTGTCATTGTATGGTATAGTCTGGTATCGTAAAGGATAGTATCGTTAGTATAGTATGGTAGCTTGGGTTTTCAGGAATTAGGTGCAGTGGTTGGCGCTTCGGGGATTGAACACCTGAAAACTACTGGACAAAACGCCGTACCGGATTAGTTCTTTGAGCCATAAAGGGACCATCCTGCCCAAGACAAGGGTTCAAGGAGACTAGATACTCGACTATCATCTAGCATAGGTTTGAATTGTGTGGCATGGCAAGCCTCAGCCGAGAATCTAAAGCAATTCTCCGATAATCGTCCTAAAAGCAACAGTCTCTGTCGTTTTGTATGCTCCTACACTGAACCCCAGATAGAAACAGAACCCACCGCCCTCCGCCGAAATTCCTCGTACAACCCACAAGGAGCCACGCCTTTACAAACAAGTTGGCAAACCTTTATTATGTATGTATGGCAATGGAACCATAAAGCGAGATGCCTGAGCCCTTCAAGGCAAAGCCAGATTGGAGTTTCAGAAAAGGGTCTTTATCCTAGAAACGGGAAGTCCTCATGTTGAAGCAACTTTCAGGTTTCAGGTACAGCAGCCCACGTGGGCTTCGAATTCCTTGAGCCTGATCAGCGAAATGCCGGCGAAGCAGCGAGTTTATTTTGTCTCGGGCGTCACTTAGCCGAAAGGAGGAAATCCAAGCACTTTGCATTTGGCTGTTGCTATCTTTGACGTCTCATGTAGTACCCAATGCTTTGGTTCTTGAGTGTTTGTGGCAAAAAGAGGCCAACCTACTGTCTGACAAAGGGCGGCCGTTTGGCGAGTCGGTGGCTTTTCGTGTGGAGTTGCCCAGCCTCGGTCGCTTTAGCGGCCATGTGGCTGAGTTGGTTGTGCTGAACGTCCACCCAGAGACCAAGACTCTTGGGCTTGGTTTGGAATCGTCCCCCGTTTCCTCCGCTGCCCCCATGCTGTGGTTCTTTGAATCTCAACCCTCGGGGCTCAAAGCAACTGCATGCCAAACCTTCAAGAAGGAGGCCTGGAAGGGAGCACCCACCCTGAAGGGAAAAAGTGTGAAGCCAGGATAGAGCAATTGGCCACCGCTGTGCGTGCCGCCGTCAAGGCTTTCCGCGTTTTAACATTGGACTGCTTTTTGAGCTCTGCCGGAAATAGACACGCTAGGTAAGGTAACTTAGCGACGCTCGCCGCATCCGCAAGCAACAGGCAGTGAGTAATGTAGTCGGAACAGCAGAATAGCCTCACGACATTCTTTCAAACAGGGTTCAAGTTCAACAGCTTCAAGTTATCTGACTTGGGGCGTGTGTCATGGAATGATAAGATTGTCAAGCGCTCAAATGTAGGACATTACTAATGGTACTATACGTATTGGCCATCTACTGCTTCTTGCCTCGGATTGAGGTAGGGTTTAGGATGCAGGATCGGGGGGAATTTCGTGGTTTCCCGCTCACTTAACATGGCACTCTGTGATCCTGAAGGCTTTGTAGATCTCGTTGCAGGTGCCGGATGATAAGCTGCGCATCCGAGTCAACGATTGCAGCCATTGCGTGGACCGAATCGGTACGGGACTTAGTGCTGAGTTTGGCAGCTCATAAACAACAAGAACATAGACCCTAACTCTATACCCTAAGCCGTGACGATTCCATTTCACGTTTTCTTTATCCATACAAGTTACACGCAGGCACCGGATGCATCGCGCGGTGCGTGGACCAAGTGAAAACCTTCCTACCATCGATGCTCGAGAAGGTGACTTGCTATTAGTGTTTCGGAATGGGCTAAACGGCTTTAAAAGGCTTTGGGGGCTCTGTAATCTGGTTGAAGGAATTATGAGTCAGGGTACAAATGCTGTAGATCGGTGTAATGGGGTTGCATAGGGTTGAAAATCGAAGCGGGTTGTGATTGGGGCCTGCGGTTTTGACCGCCATGTGTTTTAGGTAGGTGTGCATTACTGCGACAGTGAAGACACATCAAATACCCTGACATTTCCAAGCGAACTGAAAGGAGCATGCGTCGTCCAGGCTTATTCTACAACCGTACCATCCGCTAATCCCGGGTGCGGTGCCGCATCGTCATGTTCTATTTTCCTTGTGATTTGACTGGGTGCGTGTCTTTAGACTCTATTTGTAATCTTTCAGTAGTTACTTAACTATGAGGAGCTTCACAACAGTACGGAGCGAAAGTCGCGAAACTGCATTCCTGGATTTCCACATCCAAAATAGACTCTCCCAGTAAACGCTGATACTGGACAGTTGTACCTGGGCAGAATCTAGAGCAGCTTACATCCTTTCAAGTACATTGTGCAGTATATGACATAGCAACCCTGAACCATATGTAACTACAATGGTTCTGAAACACTGACAGACACACGGGTGTATAAGCAAGCGCGTGTGCTTCAAAACAACCCGTTTGTTCACCGGGACGGGCGTTAATGTTAATACACAAACCCTCCACAAATCATGCACTTTACTTTACACGCAGCAAACGTCTAAAATTCTAAAATACCAGAGTTTTTAACAAACCATTAGCAAAGCAGCTGATGTTGCATGCTATATACACGCGTTACTTTCCTCCACGGAGGAAAGCAACGTCATACAGCGGGTCAGGGTTTAAACTCTGCGGGAAGGTAAGGATTGTGGAATCGGCGCCAGCGTGTGTGTGTGTGTGTGTGCTGCTGCCATGGTGGATGGTCTGGTCTGTTGTTCTGTTGTTTTGGCATGTGGTGGGGGCGAGGGGTGCAGGTCTCCCAACCTGAACAAAGACCCTCCGCACTGCCCGCCACCCTTCCCCCAGAAGCAACGACCCCTGCTTGCAAGCAGCGACCGAATTCTTAAACAATGAAATGCCTGAGCAGATTATCAAACTAATACAAGTAAACCCCGCAGCAACTCAACGCCATCATACGAGCGACGAACGCAAACACGAAAATACCTCCATGCAGAAAGCACCATGCAGGACGCTGCCACCAAACAACCACATAAACACAGAAAGTTCTGCATTTTCACAAATGCAGGCCCCATGGCAACCATTTCTGTTATGATGTATGGGTCCTGTATGAACTTGATCCATGTTTCTTAAGGGTTTTGCAAGGCTTATGGCTTAAGGTTTAGGATTGCATGCTATGGTTAACTGACAGAGTTGAAGGTTGAAGAGTTTAAAGCCTTACAGGATTTCGAAGGTTTAGCGGCTTTACGTGGCTTAGCGTCTTACAGGGTGGTACACCTATACAGTTATACATCTCTGTTCTGAACCTAGCATATTCAAGCCCACAGACGGGAGCTACGAATGATGACGAATGCCGACCCTAGCACGAAGTATTCCCTCAGTACGGTGCTCACTTTGCTGCCAGGTGACCCGGAATGAAACCGTTCTCAAGAGCCTGATTGTCAAGGGCGACGCACGCCTTGCTGCGGGACTGGTGAGGAATGGCGTGCCTAATCTGTGTACATACGCTCAAAGCCTTTTTTTTGCCCTATAGAACCTCAGACCCCCAAACGCCAGCCCTAAAGCCTCATGAAAGGTCAGTTTTGATTATCTCCGGAACCTCACCGAGCACGTCATCGACCCCCATCTCTTCGTGGCCCCCAGCCTTGGGGAGCTGGCCAAGGTCGGGGCAAAGAGCGAATACTCTAAGGGCCTTGCAATTCAGACCAGGGAAGACGCGGACTACTTGTTCAGACCTGTTTATCGCAAGGATCCTTACCGAGTATAAGCTGTTTGTGGCCTACTGGTAGCCCAACAAAAGGACGACGCCGACCTGGCAGAACGGATCCTGCGATCCATGTCGCCGGAGCAAAAGGACTCACGATTGCTTTTTTTATTTGGAGCGGTTCTGAGTCTTAGCATTAGGCGTTAAGGGGCTTTATGGGAGTTTCAAGGGGTTCTTAGGAATACGGATATTCTGAGAATCTTACAAGTAGGACCCCAGTAGGTTGGGCTCTATGCTAGATTTACTAAGTAAGATAACCCAAGTCTTGGGTTATCTTGCAAAATTTGGGAAGCTAACATATCCTGTAGGGACACCTATAATATGCTATTGATCTTCATGCTTTTCTGCGCATCTAGTGACAGTGCACATCCAAGGACCTCAATGACTTGTTGTTTGATTCAGCCTTGTATGGCGATGGAGATGTCAAGCTGTCCAGACTACTGCTACGCCTGGGAGCGGAAGTGAACTCCACCAGTTCAGGGGTGGCGGGCCACCGAGGCATCGAAACGCCCCTCACAGCGGCCGTGCATGAGAATCATAAAGAGCTCGTGCAGGAATTGCTGAATGCCGGTGCGGAAATCAATTCACAAGCGACAAGTCAAGGCTTAGGAGACACGCCCCTCCACTTCGCTGCCTACAAAGACATGGCTTTGGTGCTATTACATGCGAAGGCAGATGTCGATGCCCGGAACACTTGGGCGCGTACACCCCTGCACACGGCATTGTCTCACTCGCAGGGCATCATGCGCAGGGACTTGGTCAGGGTCTTGCTTGATGCAAAGGCCTCCGTCAATGTCAGAGACAGCGAGGGCAGGGCGCCGCTCTTTCTTGCAGCGGCGGCCGACGCAGATGTGACAAAAGACCTACTGCAGGCGGGGGCGAACGTGAACAGCAAAACCAATTCTTTGGAGACTCCGCTCCACAGAGCTTCTTGGTACGGTTCCAAGGATGTGGTGCAAGTTTTGCTGGAGGCAAAAGCAGATGTGAACTCCAAGAACAAAGCTGGCCTAACTCCGCTTGAACTCCTGGCACAAGCTACTAAAGGCGATGCCTTGGCCATCACCTTTAGACGAGGAAAGCTTGCCGCTTGGGCGCAGAGGTTTGGAGACATTGTGCAGGGACTGGTCGATGCGAAGGCAGAGGTGAACAGCAGAGACCACGACACCCAGTCACTGGTGAAATTTGCCGAACAACTGCAGCGCCTGGACGCGGCGGAGGCCATCAACAAAGCAGAAAAGCTGGGGAACAGGAAGGCGTTGGCAAGAGGTCTCACCCCCAAACTCTAACATCACCGCAACAAGCAAACTTCCAGGCAGTTGCAGGCAAAGCGGCCGTGGTGACATCAAAATGGATGCTTTGTGTGGCTGCAGCTTCCTGGCGCACTTGTACTTAGCCCGGCACACAATACTCCTGCCCGAGCGCCGTCGCTGCTTGTTGGTACGATGCTACTGTTTAGGGGGCCCTTGTCGACAATGCGTCAACTGAGTGTTGCCACGATACAGGTGCAGGGGATTCAAGCCCTGCAGACTCCCACTTGCCTGTATGATATAGTATGTAACTGTCATGGGTTGTGGGTACTATCAGGTCTACCCAACTTAACAGGTCTCGCTTCGAAAGAGGGATGCATGCAGGTCTTCCCGAATAACGGCTGTCCTCGATGCGGTGGAAGAGGAGGTCCGGGAGCTGAACTTCGTATCCGGTTGATACCGGGGCCTGAACAATATCCTCGCTAGGGTCGCTTAAAATATGTATCTGGTTTGTTGTAATACCCCAAAATCCTATTCCGATAGTTCAGGCCCCTATAGTATACGTTTGGACATCCGTTGGGCGAGGAGCCTGGCCTCGAGTTTAGAGTTCAAACTGAGGGCTGTTTTAGTTGCTTCGTGGGTTCTTCCCTCGTGTGAGATGAAGCACAGAGTCCGGAACGTAAACTCCTTCAAATTTTGATGTTTAGGTACAAGAGACCAGTTTTGCCATGCATGTCACTGCATGTCTGCGTGCGTTGCAGCTATAGTGGGGTTCCCGAGTCTATGCTGGAACCCACATAGTCAAATGCCTGCGGGGGAAAGCATGTTAGCCATGGTAACATGCAAAGGCAAGGGATGCTTGGGAAGGTCGCTGCGCATGTGTTTATGTTTATGCTTATGTATGTATGTATCTATCTATCGATCTATCTAACTATCTATCGGTCTCGCTTTATACATGGTTCTATTTCACAGCGGTTGTATTCACATGGCCCATGCTTGCTACAAACTGTCCAAAGCTCTGCTGGAAGTCTAGAAGCGACGGCTCAGGTCAACAGGGAGGTGCTTTTTCAAAATTTGATGCATCACCTAGTACATTCCTTCCACGACCCTGAGCTTTGGGAACTATATGGCATAATTATTATGTATGACGGATGCTGCAGAATATTTCTTAGCAGTAGCATCTTCTCGAAACAGAGGACTCCACGTGCACGCGTTGTGCTTTTGAACAGCATTTCCCAAGAATTTCCTGACGATGTTCGAACCCTTTTTCGCAACCGGGGCACCTCTTTTTGAGCTTGCGACAAGGCTTGCAGCCCTCGGCTTCAGCTTCGACCAGATGATAGAAGATTGCAGATGTGACGCTGACATGCGTGGTCGTGTGCTGGCACAACTGCAGACGTGGGCTAACTCCATGATCGTCATCGCTATCATCGCAGTCAAGAATTAGGCCGAGTTCCTAACTGAATCAAAACCGTACAGTATCAACCTTAAACAGCTAAACCACTATAGGCCCAGCCCCAAGCCCAAGAATCATTTTCAGAGCCCAACAACCTTAAACCTCAACCCCCTCAAGCCCTAAACCGGCCGAGTTGCCCCGCCAAAGCATACGCGAGTCTCGCCTAAGCCGCACCGCAAGTACCTACCAATGAGGTACGAAGACGTAGGATGGGCAGAAGTGTGGCTCAGTAAATAATTATAAGGGAGTGTATATTGGAGTCTTAATTTATTAGCTACCTGGACCCCTAGGGCGACATGCCTGGTGAGCCGGGGCGGTGTAGGGTGTAGAGGATTTGCTCCAGGGTTCTAGCTACGGGCCTGTGGCACCGCCAGCAGACTTGTCAGATGAGTAATTGGGTGCGCTAGCAGGGCCCCGCAAGCAACGCCCGAAGGGCGTCACCGAGCAGGGTCGAAAAGTGAATTTCGGCAGCAGTGGTCATGCCTGCCGAATTAGAGGCTCCTTTTCGGGGGCTTAGTATGATAAGGATAACCCCAATCAGGTTGTACTTCTGCTCCCGAATACAGCCGACTTACTAACTCCCATGACCCTTCAAGTAGGGTGCGCGAACAAGCAGCAGAGTATCCTTCATGGCGATGCATTTGGGGAGTTCTGCAAACGTCGCACTGGATCTCAGACTCTTGCGAAAGCCGGGACCCCCCCCTCAAGGCACCCTGAATAGAGGCCTTACGGCCTTCAATAGTCTGGCCATTGCTTGGGATTGAACTAAGGGTAGTTCTTAGTTCTTCGTTTCCGATCCTTGTGTTTTCTGAGTTCTTCCTTGCCTTGCCCCCGTTGTAAGAGTCAAGGAGTCTCAAGTCTCACTGAACACTGCAGAATCATGCACTTCCGTAGATTCTAGGGGTGTTCGTAACGGGGTTTTCCAGGCTTTGCAGAGGATCTTCCAGGGCATTTGATGTGGGGTACTCCAGGGCTTTGTAAGGGCGCCCGGGCTTCGGGCTGCAAGGGTGAGGGATTCGGGTTCAGGGTTTTGGGATTTCGGTTTTATGGCCCAGCCTGTGGCAGCTGCAGCCGTCCGACGGTACAAGCAACCAATCCAACATCATATTCACGTCTCCTTGCGGACATGTGTTATCTTGTTTCCCTTGATCCGTGCTGGGGGCAGCCATCCAAGAGGGCAACATGGTGGTAGTGAGACGAGGTTAACTGCATCGAAGTCCGTCGCGCTAGTACCCACAAAGGGTCCTTAGTAAAGGTATCACATGTTACTCCGTCACTTGAGCTTGTGGGGCAAAGTTCAAAGATCCTAACGCCCGAAACCCTAAGTTCTGTACGTCTGAACCCCGCAATCCTTAGACCTGTCTTGGCTTCGTGTGAGTCTCTTTTCGCGCCGAGCATAGCATTGACATGGCATTGGAATTGAGGCGCCGCAGTAGCCGAAGGGGTCCAGGGCTTATCGAGCTTTCCCAGTGCGACATTGTGCTGTACGGGCTTTCGATGAATGGTCTTCTGGACTCTAAGAATGTTTTTCTAACTCTGACGTGCAGGATTTGAGTGTGGGCTTTGAATATTGCCGGCGGATTGGGTCGAAGTACGACTAGGCAACGTCGTCATCCGAAGCCAAGCCTTCTGGTGACGGTTGTTGATCGTGCTTTTTCTGTCCGGCCGTAGTGCTGTAGCCGGATAGCAGACAGTTTTTTCAGTCACTGAACATTGGCTAGTTTGGCGATGCCTGCCTGTATTGCCATTGCTATTGCAAGCCTGCGAGTACATCTTTTTAGCCATTGCCATGTCTCAGCGTGCTTGGGTAACTTAATTTGGTGTCTTGCACCTCCTTGCCTCTGTTTGCCTTGCATCCCTGCACCACAGTATTAGTAGTAAATAGTAATAGTTAAATTACACTGCGAGCACTAGACAAATGCTGAGTTCAGACGGGCTTCACCTCTTGAGCCCGAAAGCCCCAAGCCTACACCTCAAGGCCTAAGCCCCCAAAATTCCCCGAACCTAGACCTTGAAATCCAAACCCCAAGCAATCGAAACTAAGTACAATCCCCAAAGCCTCAAGGCGTGCAAACCCTTGTAGTCTTCCAAAACCCTTTCTTAACAACCCATTACAATATAGCCTTATGAAGCCCCAGCTCCTATCAAGCCCTGAAACAACCCCAAGAGACCTGTCGGAAAGGCCGAAGAGCCGCTTCCGGCTTCGGCTGGGTGCCGCCTCGACTCTCGTCGCAAAGTGCCGGATGAAGAAGTGTTGCGAAGATTTGAAGGGAGACTGGGGGTAGTTGGGGAAGGCATTGGGATTTCGGGCTTTTGGCTTGAGACTTGTTGGTTTTAGTTTGAATGGGTCATAGGACTTAGCAAAAATGGTTATAAGTAAGCGTCTAACCAAATATCTGCTTCTTGGCAATTTTAAGCTTTTGCCCTGTAAACGATGAGCCAGGGCCGTGGTTTTCAGCACCTTCGAGGTTTAGGGTCCTGGTGTCGGATGTGAATAAAGCTTCAGCCCGGTAGGTGGGTGATGGGTTTGTAAACTGGTTAATTAGCAGCTTCAGTGTTCCTGGATCAAGCTTCGGTAACCAGTCCCAACTAGAAAATCAAGCAGTGCGCTTGAAGTTGGATGAATGCGTCACCTACTGTGTTCCATCGTCCAGCGGATGGACAGAATCCTGAATTATCTCAAGTGCACTGGTGTGTGGGTGAAGTGACTTCGGATTGTGGATCATGCAGGCTGTTGTTCGTGAGCAGCCAGTTCATGTGTTCCTGCCTGGCATGCATATTCGTGGATTAAGGCACATCAGGGTTTAAGTCTCGGCAGTGTCGGCATTGTTGCGGAATGCATGTCGCTTAATTTTCAGAGTTTCATCATGTTTGATCCAAGATCCGAGGGGGCCCAAGGCCCAAAACCCCAACGGTCATTGCGATTCCTCTGCTGCAGTTTGCGGCTAGCTCGCTGTCGGCGGCAGGCGGCACAGGCACAAGAGGCCTGGCCCTTATAATCCCTATCCCTTCCCTCCGATATTAAAGGCCCCCCGCCCCCCCCCCCCCCCCCCCCCCCCCCCCCCC